ATGACCTGGATTCAAGACCTTGTACTTGGATTTGTTGAACCTCATGAGGTTTAACTGGGCCCACTGCTCATAACTGTATAGGCGTCTCCTGTACTGAGGACTCCACATCTGGATGCAGCACTCCATGTGAGGTGTTGAGTAGAGGGGCAGGATCACCTCCCTCAACCTGCTGACCACACTTCTTTTGATGTGACCCAGGATATTTGCCTTATAAGAGAGATGTTCCAGTCCCCTAATCATCTTTGTAGCCCCCTGCTAGACTCTCTCCAGAGGTTCCCTGTCCTTCTTGCACTGAGGAGCCCAGAATTGGATACTGTACTTCAGATGTGGCCTCACCTGGGCAGAATAGAAGGGGAGGATCACCTCTCTTGACCTTCTGGCCACACTCTTTTTAATGCGCCCCAAGATACCACTGGCCTTCCTGCCCACAGGGGCACACTTGATTGATAGTCAACCTGTTGTCCACCAGGATACCCATGTCCTTCTCTGCATTTCTCCTTTCCAGCAGGTCAGCCCCTAGCCTGTACTTGTGCGTGCAGTTATTTCTTACCAGGTACTGGTCCCTACACTTGCTCTTTTTGAACTTCATAAGGTTTCTCCCTGCCCAGCTCTCCAGCATGTCCAGGTCTTGCTGAATGGGAGCACAGCTTTCTGGTGTGTCAGCCACTCCTCCCAGCTTTGTATCATATTCATAATCTTGTTCAACAAGATCAAATAATAGTACAATAAGTACATAATAAGTGCAATAAGAATTCAGCCTAGCCTTTCATGAATGCTATACGCACACTGAACTATCATTTACAAACCATCCAATTCCTAGACAGAACATACATAGGACTTGGGCAATTTTATCACTCAGATGATCAAACGTTTGACCTGTTTTCCTCACAGAACTACTGAATTACGGTCTTCAGTTCAGCTAGCATCAACACAATTATTCCTTACAAGCAAAAAAATTACTCAGATTTAAAATATACATCCTACTGCATTTTCACGGCATTTTTCTATGCACATATCCAAAACCCATTCACCTTTCCATCAATGAAGAGCTATAAAAGTGTCTGTTACCACCACTCCTCCTAAATTCCATCTTTAATTCACTGTCTTCCCAGAGGGATGTAAGAGCATATGGTTTTGAATTTCCCTAAAGGACTAAAAATTTGTCAAGTAGTTTAACCTAGAGGAAAAAGGCAAGGCTTGAGGAGAAGGGGTTCTAGTAACTGCATGCAAATACCTGAAGGGAGGGTGCAAAGAGGACAGAGCCAGGCTCTTTACAGTGATGCCCAATGCGAAGACAAGTGGCAATGAGCATAAACTAGAACACAAGAGGCCCCCTCTGAGCACCAAGAAGCATTTCTGTGCTGTGCAGGTGACCGAGCACCAGCACAGGCGACCCAGAGAGGTTGTGGGGTCTCCTCCTCAGAGATCTTCAAAAGCTGCCTGGACATGGGCTTGGGCAACTTGCTCTGGGTGGCCCTGTTTAATCAGTCTAGTAAATATTAAAAGAGCAAGTCTCCAAAGGTTAAGTTGAAGTCATTAGCTTTGAAGGGCAATTTCAATGCAAAGCCCTCCTCCCTCCTCTAGGCCTGCATATCCTTCTCCCTTCCCTCACATCCAGCTCTTTTCTTTCCTTGAAACAAAAACAGCTGCTCTCAAGACAGGACAGCCTCTCCATTTCACCAGCTGCTGCCACCCCAGAGGCTATTGTTTTGATCTGTTGCTTTACTATAAGCATTTAAAACTTACCCAATTTGAGGTAAGGCTGATCAGTAGCTAGAGAACTGAGCTGGCCCTTGTGAGCTTTCCCTTACATAGTTCAATACAAAAAAACCCCAAACCCTAAGTTTCTGTTTCACAGGACTGCATATACCTTTGAACACAACCAAGAAAGCTCTGTAGGACTCACTCCTGACTTAATATAACCGTAAGAGGCTTCAAAGCAGGTTCACTGGAGTAACATTAAATGGCATTGCAGACATCACATTGTTTTTTCTTTTGTTTATTTTTAAAGTGTGTATTTCACATCATAGAGTTCAGATCCTTTCCATCAGACTTGAAGGTGCACCAGATCCCTCTCTACATTCGGTTGCTTCTAGAAGGGTTTCTACTACCAGTTCACCTCCCTGCTGTAATTTCTGTTTGCTCTTGTTGAAGGAACTTCTTTTCACTCAATACAAGCAAGCTCAATAAAGCCCTGCCCCAGCTTCCCATTCTCAGCAGCCATGTATAGCCAGGAGGTAAGGAGACTAGGAAGAGGTTAACAGGAAGAGAGGTTGGTTTGTAGTGCTGTCCTCAAGTAATCTGCTGTCACCACTGTGATGCTTACTAACGGTAAGTCCTATGTAGTTGTGACCATGACATATCTGGCCTACATCCTTTAACAGGAAAGGAGGAACCAGGATCAAGAGGCAATGTGGAAGTAAAGACACAAACAGGACACAAAGCAGGAGTTACCTATGCCAATAAATTTCTCTCCTGTGCCCAAGTGCACATGAGGGCCTGTGAGCACAAACCCCTTAGCTGGCCTGCTGAGAGGCCTGGCTGCCCTTCTCATATCTCCGCACCCTCCTCCTTTTGGCCCCTAGATACTCCAGGCCTTGGCGGCCTCAGCAAGAGTACCATGGCATGGAATCACCCTGAAGGGGACAGGAAGCAACACACTTCAGGGTGGCTGATAGGTTGGGCCAGCTCCCCATCCCATGCAATAGGATCAAGCATGGATGTGGGCTAGAGCCACTCCTGCTCTCCTTCCCTCTACCCCAGAGAACATGGTCTGTGCCCTGTGGGTTGGGGGGAGGTGGCAACACAGGGCAGGCCACAGCCACCTACCAAGTGACTGGTAGTGGGGTGAACAGCAGCAAAAGTAGGGCAGAGCTGCCTGGCCTTTAGTAGATGGGCTGCCGCCACCAGACAAAAGCCACTGCCAGACCGAAGCCTCAATGTTATGTGGATAAGGGAGCGATACAGCCATCAGGTTGGGGATGGGCCGGTGGGCCTACTGCCCTCATGCAAGGCGAGACGGGGGGAGGGGAAGAAGAACACAGCACACAGTCCGCGCC